CGCTCGGTTCGCAAAGCACTCCTTTCCCTGGACATCCACAAGTAGAGTGGGCCCGACGGAATCCCTCCAATTGTGCTGAGGACGTGTGCTTCAGGGTTGGCACCGGTTTTAACGCGTCTTTTCCGGTGCTACTACTCCCTAGGCGTAGTCTCAAAATCATGGAAGACGGCTTTAGTCCACCCGACCCCTAAAAAGGCGACCGCTCTGACCCGTCCAACTACCGGCCTATCGCCATCACTTCCTTGTTCTCCAAAACAATGGAGTCCATTGTAAACTGCAAGCTCATGAGGTACCTTGAATCACCAGCTGATTAGTGACCGCCAATACGGTTTTCGCCATGGTCGGTCAGCTGGTGATATTCTGGTCTACCGAACTCACAGATGGGCGGAGGCAGTAGAGTCCAAGGGGGAGGCATTGGCCGTTAGTTTGGACATTGCGAAGGCCTTCTGTCCCGTTTGGCACAAAGCGCTTCCGAAATTGTGGGATTGGATCACCAGCTTTCTTGCTGATCGGAGCATCAAGGTCGTTATAGCCGGTGCAATCTCCGATTGCAAGCCTATTAATGCTGGTGTTCCACAAGGCTGCGTGCTATCGCCAACGCTGTTTCTTCTGCATATCAATGATATGTTACAAACCCGTAACATTCATTGCTATGCAGATGACAGCACTGGTGATAGTCTTTACACCGGCCGAGCCAATATTTCTCGGGAAAACGTCTCCGAGTGACGGGACAAACTTCTGTCTGAAGTCGAGAGTCCTTGCTCAACAGAGTCTCAGTTGGGGGCAACTAAATCTAGTCCAATTTAACCCCCAGAAGACATAAGTTTGCGCGTTATTCGCTAAAAAGAACCACTTTCCTCAGTTTCAAGGCACTCCCCTTGTTGCTTCAGCCAATATCGGAAGTATTTCATGCCGGTACACCGCTTGCAACATTACAAGGCGCAGGTTCGGCCACACATGGAATACTGTTCCCATCTCTGGGCTGGGGCTTCCCAGTACCAGCTCCTTCCACTTGACCGCATCCAGCGCAGAGCGGCTCGAATCGTCGACAACCGAGTGCTTTCCGATCGGCTCGATTCACTGGTATTGCGAAGAGATGTTGCATCTCTTTGCATTTTATTTCGCATATACCATGGAGAGTGCTCTGAGGAATTGTTCGGATTAATCCCAGCCACCAAATTTCGTGAACGCACACGCGGCAAACGTCCCGATACCATCCACACCATCTGGATGCTTGGCGGTCCACCACTGTACGTTTCAAGAGGAGTTTTCTTCCGCGTACAACCTCTCTGTGGAATAGTTTACCACCGGCGATTTTTCCGGACCGATATGACCTGGGGACCTTCAAGAAAAGAGCTTACTCCTTTCTAAAGGGCCGGCAACGCACTTACAATTCCACTGGTGTTGCGGTTGATCATGGGCGGCGGTAGTCACTTAACATCAGGTGAGCCGCATGCTCGTTTGCCCCCCTCTTCTATAAAAAAAGGCGTTTTGCACCCATTGTATAATTTGTTTGGTACGAGCTAGAAGTCGCGGCCCGATGAGAGAATCAGCATAGTTAAATTTTGATAGCACAAAGGACTCGCATAAATTAACACGCAGAGTCAGGTTTAGGTAATTGCGAATTCGATAAAGTACTTTTAGCCTAAAAATCAATTACGTACAATATGAAAAATGTGCTCCTCGAATAGCAGCGGCTCGTCCATCACTACACCAAGATTTCTCGCTTCAGGGACTCTCTCTATTGTATCCTTATTTATGACAATAGCGAGATGGGCCGTCATGGTAGTGCGGACTTTTCTATCCAGGGCATTAAATTCAGTCTGAGTCCACCTGAGTATTCCAAAAGTATACATGAGGATAGGCATGACCCAACCGTTATATGCGTGTGTCTTATTCACACCAGACAAAAGGCTGTCACATATAAACACTTTGGTCAAGCGTGCATAAAACATGTCGCAAACTGACTATCATTCCAGCCTCATCGATACCGATGTTCTGTGATATACCCTAGTATCGGTATGTTTCAGCCTCAGAAAGGGTCCTTAAGTTGACGGGCATAGATAAGTCTATGCCCTCAGAGTAAGCAACCCTTCCACTTTCAACATGAATATCCGTTCCCAGCTCCGTTCCAATAGAACTGATAAATTCACAAGTGATATTTAGCAATTTCACAAGATGGGAGCGACTGGAGGCGAATAACTTGAGGTCATCCATACAGAAAAGATATGTCACTTTTATACCTCCTTTCCGAAGCTGAAATTCCCTTCCAGAGCCCTTCAGTAGAGTACTAATAGGTTCAAAAAACAACAACATTGCCCTAGAAGATAGTATCAGACAGTAGCCCAGGGGAGACCAAATAGCCGAGGGTTAGGAGGAAAGGGAAAGAAACCGGCGAACAATGCGGGCGGTATCGAGGAGAACCGTCTTCTGCATTTGAGCCCCGAGCGGTCCGTCGTGGAGTCCTAGTCGTCTCAGATGACCCGAGAGGCTGACTGGGATTAGCCCATTCGCAGAGACGACCACAGGAATAATTTAGGCCGGCATACCACCCCACATGTCGGTCACCTCGTGAGCCAGGTCCAGATATTTTGTTCGCTTATCTGTTTCGGCTTTCACAAGTTTCTCATCATACGGAATTGTAATGTTGACCAAAAATATCCTAGACTGTGCCCGGTCCACCAGCACAATATCAGGCTTAGTCCTGAAGAATAGTCCTGTCCATGATGATGTCCCGATCCCAGTAGAGTCTGAGTCATTTTTGAGCACGGCTTCCGGCAAGCACTAGTAATACGGAAATTTCCGGTCCACGAGACCGTATATAAGAGCGAGCTCCTTTTTTTTACATGGGGAAATGCCTACGCATACCCGCCTCGCGGGGGGCAAGGACGGGTATGTCGGACTCGCACCGACTAAAACCCCATAGTGTTCCACCTTCGTCGCATATTGGCAGGGCTACGGGAACGCTTTCGCACACTTCCGCGGCCCCACCAGCGACTGCCGCCCCATGGCAGCACCTCATCGGGAGAGGAATATTCCTCCCCGTTCTCCTTCCCAAGTAAGGCGCACCAGAACACATGGCACGCCTTCCTCCACAGCCTCCAATTACATCTGCGCAACAGACGCCCCCGCGTCCGATGCGCGAAGGCCATGGGGCCAGGAAAAATGAGCACTTAGAAGTACTAGCCTTCCCGACCCCAGCGGCGGATCTGGTCTATGGCTCCGCCGCCAACCAAGATTCGGCTGCGGAGGATAGGGAGAGCGGCGCCTCGCAATACCGACAATCCTCTCCCTCCGCAGCCCCATCACCACCGCATCAACGGTGCGGCCCCGTTTGAGTCGCGGAGGATAGGGCGAGTGGCGCATCGCCATACCAACACTCCTCTTCCTCCGCGACTCCACCTCGGCTGCAGCGGTAGGTGGGGAGGACACACCTCTCACCGCAGTCCACCAACACACATCCGAAGTGGGCTTCCCAAGCCCACTCGGAGTGGCCACCTCGGGCCGGCCCTCCACCTCGGACCAGCCATATGGGTTCCTCTTTGTTTCGCCGTGGGTGACCAAGCCACGGCTTCTAAGCCCCCCCGCCACGACAAGGCGGGAATCCGCTCAAGCTCAACAGACGTCGACAGTGCCATTCTTTAGGATGTATCTCCGATAGTTGTTGGTCTTAATAACCTGATCCTGTATTGCGCAGATAAAACCCTCGGTTTCCCCGAAGAGGTCACCGAAACGTAGCCAGATGAGGTAGGGAGCTGTTTCTACGTGGGGCTCATGTAGAGCCCTGTAGTATCTCCCGTGGAGCTCCTTCACCTTCCATACGGTCCCCCGGTCGGAAATGCTCTGTACTGCCGGGTCCTGCCATTGCTCGTTGGCTAAGGATAGAGGGGTAATTCCTTTATCACTAGAAATGACGTCATTATAGAATGGATCATCCGATCTTGCCAGGAAGTACGGAGGCTGCACACTTCGCAATTATGCATGGTGAGCACGCTCAGGAAGCCACGCCCACCATGCTTTCGCGACAAGTACCACCTCATTACGGACGATCTCGGATGATGCAACCTATGGGACGTCATTGTAGTGCGGACTTATCTATCCAGGGCTTTAAGTTCAGTCTGACTCCATTTCAGTATGGCAAAGGTATACATGAGGACAGGAATGACCCAGTCGTTATATGCGTGTGCCTTATTCACACTGGACGAAAGGCTGTTAAGCACTTTGGTCAAGCGAGCATAAAACATGTCGCAAAATGACTGTTTCATACCAGCCTCATCGATACCGATGTTCTGTGACATACCCAGGTATCGGTAAGTTTCGGCCTCGGAAAGGGTCCTTAAGTTGACGGGTATAGATAAGTCTATGCCCTCAGAGTTAGTAACCCTTCCCCTTTCAATATGGAGGACCGCACACTTATCCGTCCCCAGCTCCATTCTAATAAAATTGCTAAATTCCCAAGTGATGTTTAGCAATTTCATGAGATGGGAGCGACTGGAGCCGAATAATTTAAGGTCATCCATATAGAAAATGTGGGTCACTTTTGTTACTCCTTTCCGAAGCTGAAATCCCCTCCCGGAGCCCTCCAGTAAAGTACTGAGAGGGTTCAAAGAGAGGCAGAACCAGATTGTACTCAGACAGTCGCCCTGGAATATACCCCTTCTTATCCTTATGCGGCTTTTCGCAGCCGTCATCCGCTCGCTCGAGGAAGTCTCGAACTGTACAGTCAATCTTGTACAGCTCGAGGACCCTCTTTAGCCATGTATGGTGCACCGTGTCAAATGCCTTTCTGTAATCTATCCAGGCGGCGGAGAAGTTCCGACGGTTTCTTTTCAGCACTTTGCCAATGACCGCGTCAATTCCACATAGCCACATGACCGCGTCATTTCAAAGTGGCTCCTTGGTTCCACGACCGCCGCTTCGACATGGATTTTCACCACGCGACATCACCTGATTTGAGTCCAGGTGACGAGTGATTGTCGCGCACAAAATGGATGTTAGTGTTATGTATATGGTCGGTAGACACGTGATAGGCGGTATTTGCTCGGGTCTGTGGCACCCTGGCCTTTAGGAACCAAATGAGTGATCCCAGTAATGAAGAGGCTCGGGAGCGACTTCTGGTTGAGAGCCTCTTGAAACTGCCGGGCGAGCACAGCGTGACATACCACGAACCCCTTCAGCCAGTAGTGATGCAGCCCGTCGAGCCCCGGACTTTTCCAGTTCGGGGCCGTACGGACCGCCTTAGCTACGATGACGGGGTCCATGGGCGTTATATTTGCACACTGACTCACCACAACTTCCGTCCAGGGGCCCTCGTTGTGGTTTACGGGCTCTGACCACAGGCATAGCCAGAATGCGACCGTGTCAGCCTGATTCGTTACTGGGCCTGTTCCACTTACCATTGTTCGCTCCAATGATTTATAGAGCCTCTTCTGATCACTCTGAAAGGAACGATTCTGGTTGAACCGTGTCGGCCTATAGATATATCGCCGAATCCACTTTTCCCAAGCAGCGATTCTCTGCTTCAGGTCGTCTATGCGCTCCGTCAGTTTTTGCATTATATCCGGCTGGGGTTAACTAACATTTGTCGCAGCAAACGCCATCCTGATGGTACGCATAATCCTTGGCCTGCTATTGCGATACGTTCTTCAGTTCTTGTTCTCCAGGCTGGGATAGCACTACTTTGTCCAGTAGTGCGTCCAGCCATGGAAAGTTTGGGCCTAATACGGCAGACTGCCAGTGCGGCACCAAACAGAATTGAGTCCGTCTCGCAAAGGTCCCGGCTGGCTTCCAAATATGTCACCAGCATTGGGTTCAGAGCCCTCACGATAGCCCGATTTCGCTTGCTTAGGGCTACGCGGGGAGGTCGCGGTCGATTTTCGAGAGGCGTACTGCGCGTTTCCAAAATCGCCTCATCCAATGAACTCCTCATTTGCTTCAGCTCCAGTTCCATGGCGACTGTTCCATCATCGTTTGAATCAACCAAAACTGGGGTATTTACGCCGGCATCCACGTTTGCCGGTTTCTCTGCAAGTTGTGGCGGCGCATACTCAGCCGTAGCATTTTCATCCGAAGAAGGAACAGCCTCACATCGTAGCTGTTTGAGTTCAGTGACATCAAATGTATTTGAGCGCAAGATATAACGAACTCGGTCTGCCAGGTTTTGCTCGGTGACGATTACAGATAGCTACAGCTCAGCAAAAAAGTCGATGCATCCTTGCCCGATACGCAAAACCTCCAATTTATCCCCCTTTCGCCATAAAATACGCCCACAATGCATTGTTGTTCATTTGAGTTGTCCAACGCATGCGGCGTGCTCTACCAGTGGCAAGTGCCGATTGCTGCGCCCGCGAAGACTATGTTTATGTTCAGCTTTTATAGGCTGTATTGGAGAGAATGAATAAATTATACTTAAAATGTTGTTACTGCCCCCATGCTATCCTGACAAAAGCCGATCGAGACTAGGGACCATTAGTAGTCCAATTCGACGGGTAACAAAGGGGAGGGTCCATGACCTATGGATAATTAAACTATAACTGCTGACAAAGAAGCAAGCAATACTTACCGATTACCAGAAGTAGGGTCAACCACAGGGCATAGTCAGGTGAAAGGTGATGTGCATGTAAGTGGTGTGAAGTATTGTGTTCAACCTAACATCGCCGCCGATCCTGGACAGCAGATCCCAAGGCGTTGCCTCTCTCCAAATGTGGGATCCATCCAAGGGGCGTACACCAATGGAAAACTTCCGCTTCTATTTTCACTTTATTGTACATTTAATTAACTTCAAGTTCAACCAAATTAACGTTAAACAAGTGACACGCGGTACAACTTAAGGACGGTTGGTCAAAGTTCAATTTCCCAGGTTCACATAGCACAAAACTACTAATTCGTCATTGCACTCGAACCGGGGGAACGGTAGCCCGCAGGAGAGTGCCGAGCGTCCGTGGGAGTCGTGGGCCCGGCAGAGCCCCGAGAGGAAGCGCCGATCGCACCCAGGCACAAAACGGCAAGGTGACTGCCCTGGCAGTGCAATGGAATCACTACTAAATACAAATTACCATCAAATGAAATTCAATACAAATTACTACAAATACAAATTACTATTTATCCAATTAGTAACGATTACACTACAAAATTAATTTAATCAATACGAAAACCGTTAATTAAATCAAACACAATTACCACCGCAATCACTCACTACAGTCGGTCAACAAGACGCCACGCTAAGGCGACCGACACTTCAACAATTTAATCAACAATACAATACGAATGCAATAACGATAATACGATAATTACACGATTATGTAATAACGATAATTATCCACCTTACACGACGCGTGATGGTACCTAAATCTAAACTACACCACCGCTTGCGCAGCCTAGAGGCGTGGTTTCTACCCAACTCTAACAAACAAAGTAAGCGAACAAATAAAGAAAAGAGCAAAAATATTTTTATTACGTATTAAGGCCGGAAGTGATTGCAAAACCAATCAACCACGCTCTGTCAACAGAATGCGTGGTTCCATCCACCGATCCGCTAACAAACAAAAAAACGACTACATTAGGACTGGGCATGATGGCAGAAACCATAAATCAACGACGCTCTGCTACTACTATGTTACGGCCTCGAGTTACCCTGACAAAAGCCGATCGAGACAAGGGCCCATTAGTAGTCCAATTCGACGGGTGACAAAGGGGAGGGTCCAAGACCTATGGATAAATAAACTATAACGGCTGACAAAGAAGCAAGCAATACTTACCGATTACCGGAGGTAGGGTTAACCACAGGGCATAGTCAAGTGAAAGGTGATGTGCATCTAAGTGGTGTGCAGTATTGTGTTCAATGTGTAACCTGACATCCCTGCTGATCCTAGACAGCTGATCCCAAGGCGTTACCTCTTTCCAAATGTGGGATCCATCCAAGGGGAGTACACCAATGAAAAACTTCCGCTTCTATTTTCACTATATTAGTTTATCACTTTATTGTACATTTAATTAAATTCAAGTTCAACCAAATTAACGTTAATCGACGTTAAACAAGTGACACGCGGTACAACTTAAGGACGGTTGGTCAAAGTTCAATGTCCCAGGTTCACGTAGCACAAAACTACTAACTCGTCGAAGCAATTAACGGCATAAAAATTCCTTTAATCACTAAAAATTCCAAGTAGGTCTTCTGTAACGTAACATGTCCAAAACAGACAACTTAATTAGAGGCAGTCGAGTCTTGACCCACATATTCAATAGTAAATTCTAAATGGCGCGCACAATTAACATAAGACTTAGGCACTCAAGTCAACACCTGCCGCGCGTAACCGAATGACAGTCACAACAATACTTAACACGGTTACAAAACAATTATATTATTTCGGCATCGTTATCACGGAAACTTACAAATATAATATAACTTAATAATATAACAAACAGGCTCTCAACGTATAATCGATCTGGGCTTCGCGCAAATAAACTAAGGTAATAAGCCACGTTGTCGCGGATACGTACAATATAAGATAACACCAGGCGGCCGTCATTTCGACGCAAAAGTATATCAACTCGCGACCGCTAACTCAACCCGGGAAGTTATGTAACGTTCGACCTTTTACTGGCGCGGGCGCAGCGCCCGAAGGCTCGCTGCCAGCCGCCCTCCGGCCTGGCGGCCGACTGACTCGCATGCTGTGCCCGTACGCCGCATCAAGCCTCCGTCTCCCGCGACATCTAACCGTTTCCTTACCCCGCTCGAGACCCGCGTCCCGCATGCCCCAAATGACACAACAATCGAGTGTGAACAAATATATTATTATTTATTATGAAAACATTCCAAAGATACCTATGTGAATTATGTAAGAAGTGAAAAAGAGAAACTAAAACATGTTTATTGGTAGTAGCATCTTAACAATATCAACACAATAATTATTATGAAAATCATATTTCCAAGAGAAACGAGACAAAATATCAGCTTCCCAGTTCCTGGCAACCCCGCTATGGATGGCTTTATTGGTGGTCATAGTTACGGTGGGACAGGGAATGCTAAGAATCTCCGACGGAGGTACGTTTGATTCCACCTTCGACTACTCGGTTTGTCAAAGTTTTATATGTGTATTATGACTTTTGAGAAGATTCCGGAGCTAAAAAAAGGGACAGAAGTTTTACTGAGATATAGGATTATCTGGGGTACGAAGGCAGGCATGGTCATCCTCGAATCTGGAAAATTGTTGGTTTTGCATCAAACGTGCGCAACGGATAGAATTATGATAGTTAATCCAACTGGCAAGCGTAACAATTAAGGCAAATCCTTTCTATCCTAGGTCTCATTACTAAATATAACCATGTCCATAGTTGACTTTGTTGTATGCCGTGTAGTGGCGGTTGAGAATATCCACTACCCCATAATGCCGTGTAGTGGCGGTTGAGAATATCCACTACCCCATATCTTCCCGTGGGTGTCGTAAGAGGCGACAGAGGGAGACAGGCAGGAGATGGGCAGCAGCATCTTCCTGATAACAACTGTGACTTAATAAAAAACTGCGGTTGCCAACCCGCTCGCCAAGTCAACTGGCAAATATCCCCCCATGAATAACGACGCAAACAGACGGCCCCCAGTCCCTGGCGGCCCCGCTATTCCTGGCTACGGTGGCGACCATGGTAACGGCGGGGCAGGGGGTGCTAAGAATCTCCGGTGGAGGTTCGGTTGCCACCTACGACGAATAGACCTGGCAACATATAACGCAAGCACCCTGAGAACTGACGAGAAGATACTGGAGCTGGAAGAAGAGATAGCAAGTTGCGCTGGCATATTATTGGATTATCTGAGGTCCGAAGAGATGGGGAGGACACGGCAATCCTCGAGTCCGGCAACTTGTTCTATCACCGGGAGGACGACCATCTGTACCAAGGCGGTGTCGGATTTATCGTCCACAAGTCTCTCGTCAACAACGTTGTAAAGATTGGGAGTGTGTCGACGAGGGTCACGTACCTGATACTCAGAATCACCAATCGGTATTCGCTGAAGGTCATACAGGTTTACGCACCAACCTCGGCACATCCCGATGAGGAGGTTGAGGAAATGTATGAGGATATTTCCAGAGCCCTACATTCCTCCAAAACCCACTACACGGTGTTGATGGGAGACTTCAACGCAAAACTAGGCACAAGGCACAAGGAAATTTGGAGTAGGGCAACGGAACCGAAGGGGCCAGCAGCTGGCCAACTTTATGGAGAAAGAGGGACTCTTTATGATGAACTCTTTTTTCAAGAAGCGGCCCAACAGGAAGTGGACCTGGTCGAGCCCCGACGGTTCAACAAAAAATGAGATTGATTTCATTATGACGACCAGACGCCAACTGTTCAGTGATGTCTCAGTGATCGCAAGGGTGAAAACCGGCAGCGATCACCGAATGGTTAGAAGCACACTGAACCTAAACGTTAAGTTGGAGAGGTCTCGTCTAATGAAGTCAACGCTCCGTCCCCCCTCGTGCTCTAATCCAGAATCCCGAAACCTTTCAGCTCCAGTTAAGTAACCGCTTTCAGTGCCTAGAGGATTGCAATGCAGTGGACGATATAAATGACAGGCTCGCGGAAACTGTCCATGCGGTCGGAGCTAAGTTCTGCAAGACCCGCCGCAGAAGAACACAAAAACTCTCCGATCACACTCTTAATCTCATGGCTGTTAGACGGGAGATGAGGCTGCAATCGTCAACGGATTTGGCAGCATACAGGCAACTGAACAGACAGATCTCCAAATGCATGCGGCGAGACTTACGCAACTTTAATACTTCTTGTATTAAAGAAGCGATCGAGCGGAACCAGGGCTCCAAATCCTTTGCCAGAGATCTGTCTGCCAGAAATAGCCAACTGTCAAAGCTGAAGACTGAGTGTGGCAGCATCGTTTCCGGGACACCTGAGATTCCGAGTGAGATTGAGAGGTTCTATGGGCAGCTGTACACATCATCGTTGGAGCCACACTCAAGTGTGAGTAACGATCCAAGAGCAAGTCTTATCCGACACTATTCCGATGATATCCCGGACGTCAGTCTGAGAGAGATTAGAATGGCTCTCTAACACCTTAAAAACGGCAAGGCCCCTGGCGAGGTTGGAATT